TTGTATTGTGATTTTCCTCGTCAATTTCGTCTTAGTTTAAGTTATCTCTTTTTGTATCCTCCCTTTAGCATGAAGGCAATCCCAACAATGTAATCTGAGGCTTAGATGATGAGAACAGCCGAATAAGTTTTAGCTGTCCATTGCACACATCATGGTAAAGGGACAAAGGAAAATCAAATCAACCAATCAAAGTTTATTTTTATCGATGGGTGATTGAACGATTCGTCATCCAGAGCACCAAATACAACAGATGGTACAACAGTCTATTACCAGTGCGTTTCACAACAAGTACCGTAGAATTATCCGGATCAAGCCAAGTCAAGTACAAATGACTGCTTAAGGACACTTATGCCCAACAAGCGAACAGTACTTTATAGTGATGTTGTTAAATATACAATGTTGTTATGTTAAAATAACAATATTATTGAACTGACCGGTCAAAAAGAAACAGTGTGAAGCTTCAATCAAAACAATCGATAATTTTGCAGTCGTTTCGCACTTTTTTTTCTAACAACCATAGAAGATGCACATTCATTGCACATCCTATTTTTTCATTGCCAGTATGTGTAAGGAGTCCTTTATGACCAGACCTTTTTAGATTGGTATTTGTCTATAACAGACACATTGATCTGACTGAAAGAATGCCTTTCAGTAATTGACTGCTGGGCAATACCGGAAGTGCCGGCCTGTCCAAGACAGACCGCAGAAAAGTGCTCTTTAATCCTGATGTTCAATTTCTAGTTGGGCTTTCCTATGTACCCCATGTCGCAGTTTCTGCATTGTATATAACTTTGTATACAACGTCTAACACGTCTTCAAGATCATTACTGGGCAAGTACATTTGGTTATTAATGTCGCCCATTGTTTTGCCAGTCTTGTAGTCCTGCAGACCTTAAACCCCTGGTCATTAAGGCACCTCGTCATAAACTGAGATATGTGGAGTATGAACAGTAAAATTACCACTGGTCTACCTAAACTGGCCAAATTTAAATTTGAGCTGGTGTGCAAAACTTCTTCGTCAAGTATCCTCCTTCGCTAAGCGTATTTTAGGAACGTTTGGTGAAGATGTTTGATTTCTGCCTGTAGGCAGGAAGTGTTAGTGCAAGTGTTTCTGGCTTGTGAACGCATGTTTTTCACCACATTCCTAAGTACTCCAGGAGAGACACATGATGCTGGGTGGTGGGCTCGATTGGAGTGTGTTAATTTCCCATATATGCAAACCTCAAATCCAAAGGATGTCGTCCTCTTCACCAGCACGTCCAGAAAGGATATGGAGTGATTAACTTCCACGTCAGCAGTAAAGCATGTTCTGTCATTTTTGTCCTGTCCATTCATGTAATTCATGAAACATTCCAACCTCTTCAGTTCGTCCTCATTTCGTTGGAATAACAGAAAAATGTCATCAACGAATCGGACATAGAACAACGGTCAAAATTCTGGGGGCATTATTTAAGTGCTTTCACCTCCAGGTTGCTCATATAAAGTTACGAATGATGGTTGTGTACCCTTTACTACTTACAGAAATGTAATCATCAATCTGACAACCCAAGGACGGATTCAGCGTACATGGTGAAGGGTGACTTTAAAACTACACTGTTGCTTTTAACATCAGTCAGTAATATACATCAATAAGTAGCGCCAATCTGAATCATGCTTTTTAATCAGTCAATCAGCGTTTCTTCGTGAGGCAAAGAACGCTGCTGTCGGCATCACCATTCTTGAACAGAAACTGCGTTGCTTGCAAAATCTCACAAAATCACAAACAAAACAATGGCAACAATAATTTCCCTCTCAGTGCCTCATAGACAACCTATAGGGTTTTGCTTCCTCTCGCTTTCTAGCAGCTGCCTGAAAACGATGGCGAAAATGGCAAACTGACAGACGATGAAGCTCTGCAGAGCCAAGAATGGCCCCAAATCGACTATGACGTCCAGGGTTCCAAAAATTGCTTTCATGAGCTTCTTGTCGGACTTTTGTTATTGACATTGTGCGATAAGGAGAATGCGAGCGAACCAAAAAAAGGTGATTATCCTTCGTTGACTGGATCTCTGTGTCATCCGCACTCTTATTTTTGAAATATTTACATCTTTGTGTTTTGGTTATTTTAAATTGTGTGATAAACACAGTTGTTATCGTGTTTAATTTTGTAAGTGTAGAACCTAAATTGTGTATGACTGCTGTTAATTTTATTCCTTTATGTTTTGCATATAAAGGGAGTATAATTTAACTAATTTAATATATTGCAAACGAAGAAGCCACTGTTAAAGAAAATGAAAACTTCCTATTCTGAGGAATGTAAGAAATGATTATTTGGCGAACCTGGGCTCAGCGAAACCTGACGAAAGAACTAGTGTGAGCGGAACTTTGAGTTTACTGTAAATTGGCTTGCAAGAAGTCTCTCAATATGACCGTCTGCTTCGTCTACCGTTGACCTCAAAAATGACGTCAATTGCCTGCCGTGACGGCTTTAAACAATTATCTCCACGAAGTTTCTGCCTCTATGTTGGCCGAAGACATTTCGATTTCGAAGAACCGCCCACCTCAACAGACAGTCGAAATTGACTGAAGTTCTTTTCTGGCAAATCAGAATCGATGCTGGGGGAATCACATTCCCCACAGTGGAGTTTTGCTGTAATTAGACGACAAACAAACAGACACTTCATCTGTCCTCGATGACGGTACCTAAATGCTGGTTCCTTCGACCCGGAACAAAGAACACATCAAACTTCTGCCTCGTTTACTATCAAATCGATATACAACTATTTGAACACCTAACCGTAAACCAAAACTACAGATTCATCGACCAGTAGAAGCAGATACCCCATAAAACAATGAAGAACACCTTGAACCCTGTGAAACGGAGCACAACAATCGTATTTGCACCAAGCACAACTTTCTCTACAGCGACACTGCTGAAATAGTGCGGTTGAGCAAGCCCAATAATCGGACTCTTTTAGAAATCATCTTCAAGGACGTCGTCTGACTTTACCCCAAAAATTGGCATAGCTATTTGTAGTCGAAACCGTCAAGTATTGAGTTCATCCAACAAGTTGATTCATCCTACTGTTTCGAACATCTCAGCGTATAATATACAATATCTAAGCAATTGTGTATTGGTCACTTAAGATTAATATTTGTAACCCATTCGTAAATATACCTCAGGTACTTGAAATAATCAGAAGACACCTAATTAACATGGAGGTCGCAATCTACTACAAGGCCGATATAAGTCTGGCAATTATTTTCTTCAGTAGGCATACGCGATGAGGCCGGAGGAGACGTTCCATGTTTGTGCAGCGTCTACTACGGAAATTGCAACTAGGTATACTGTAGCAGCGCTTATCGGAAATTAAATATTCTACCAAATATCGCTTATCTGCCGAAGAAGCCAAATACTCTGATAGTGCTTTCTAAGGTACAAATTTTTAGTCACAAGAATGTATCTATAATCGATATGGACTATTCAAGTCTTGGTTTTTAGTTTAAAAAGTATCTCCGTATTTTGGGGATAAAACGCCGTCTGTAAAATTAATGCTCCTTTGTTGTACTAAGCGAAAGTAGAGGCGCCATCACTAACTTGATAAGAAAGTTTCGAACGAGGTAATCAGTAGTTGAGATTATACTATTAAATTCAAAGTTTCAAAAACTCCGCGCTTGCCCTCCCAAGCCGGGATGAGAAAGGAGGAGGGTTGGAGACCGCGACTCCACATAATTTAGCTACCTGCCCCTCATGTTATTGCAGTTATCGAATGTTATACTGCATCGGTCTTCGCTAGGTTACGAAGGTCTGCCTTGGCTGTTGAGGACTGAGGGAAGCTGTGATAAGTTGGTGATCAGAACCTGCTCATCGCCTTCTGGCAGCCGGAGCTGTAGCAGCCCGAAAACGATTGTAGAACTTCGACAAGAAGACGATGAAGATACCAATCATCAACGGAGTCAGTACTCGTTCTGAACGGAGGAGGCGAAAAGCGCAATGCCATTATAGCCCGTTAGAAAAGGCTGCACAAGAACGACATCGTCAGTGGGAGCTTACAGTCAGAAACTGCAGCATATCCTCACTCAGAGGGATTGAGCAAGAGTTAGCTGATGAGGCCATAGAGTACCAACTCGACATTGTTGGACTCTCGTCAACGAAGGGCGAAGGTTTTGGAATCCTGAACTTCTTAGGGTGGAGGCTACTCTACTCCGGTGTAGATATCACGACGTGCATTCCGGTGTTGATGTCGTGATAGATCCCAATCTGGATGACAGAATAATTGAATGGAAGTCTGTCAGCGGAAGAGTGGCAATTCTGTGACTAAGGTTTCAACAGGTTCAGGAGATGGCCCTCTTGCACTCTATATGCTAAATGGGAGAGAGAATATGAGAATATGAGTCCTTCTTTGAGGAAATGGAATTTGTTCTGTTACGGTTCCTCATTCTAATGGGCCTGTAGGGTGAGAAAGTGCAAATTGGAAAAGCGTGGTTAGAAAGAACGGCCCTCGTGGTTTCAAGAATAACAGCTTAAATTAACAACCTGAAAGCTTGCTGCCATTCTGTGCAAACAACCGACTGTCTGTTATGAACATCTTCTTCGATCTGTGAATCGTATACAGCGTATACCTGGTATAGGGAAGCTTGTGCACACAACTCAATAACCAATTTGATAGTGGTATCGTTCGACCT